GCAGTGTTCTTGCTTAGCATAGGACAGGGGTTCCCAAGCTTTTTCTAGCACGACCCCATCCAGTGTTGTCAACTATCCAGTGCGACCCCAAATCATTTCACTGAAGTATATATATATATATATATATATATATATATATATATATATATATATATATATATATATATATATATATATATATATATATATATATATATATATATATATATATATACTGGACTCACCCCTGAAGATGTGAATTACACGAAAGCGCTTGGGAATGGTTATCAGCACCTATATATATATATATATATATATATATATATATATATATATATATATATATATATATATATATATATATATATATATATATATATGTGTGTGTGTGTGTGTGTGTGTGTGTGTTGAAAAGTTATACACACAGTTATTTTACTTACATTTATTTCTAAACTTATCGAAGGAAAATTAAACAAGAGGGCTCAAGCTTACATATATTACAACAGTACTACTGGGGATTTTTGGTTTTTATATGTATGTAATTACTGAGATCATAAACATGGAAATTGAATTACATATTTATAATTTAACAAATTTATACACGCCTGTGTTATAATTCATGCTTGTTTAGCAATTAAATTGCACAATTTGATGTTTTTTACTTGGAGGTATAATCACGTGGTGAAGTAACATAATTATGTAATATACAACAGTGCACTTTCTGACATATTTCGTTTGTGATATGGGTGTACTATAATTTAATTAGCATGAAGTATTATTCATAGCATTATTTAATTTAAATCTGGCATGTGTACATTATCAGTCAATAAATTTCCTGTAGAACTGAAAACATGAGTATAATATTAAACCACATAACATACTGCTCAGTTACAATACAGCTGTATGTTAAGTGTCCTACTGTCCTTCATTATGTGATAATATATGAGGCCTATCATTTGATTAATTTTCTGTATCTGGGGGTATATGATGTTAAGCAACATAGCATAGAATTTTCTAAGTTAAAGTTTGTAATACGGCTACCATAATCATTTTTAATGAACACCATTGACGAGAATGCTGCTTCACAAACATAAGTGGTTCCAAATTGTACCAGAACCTGGATAGCTCGATTTCTTACAACTGAATGTTTCTTTCCTAAATTAATCCAAAACTTTCCTGTCGTTATACACATCAAAGCTCACCCTAGCCTCGTTGTCAGCTTGCAATTCTGCCATCTTAAGTGCAAGAAAACCACACCTGTTTGCATCTGTTTTGAATGGAAATTGAACAAAATCAAAAGACTCATTCGGCAACTCTGGGAATCTGTCACTGAAATTCACTGTCAGATTTTGCAAATATTCCAGGAGATCCTGTTTCTCTTCCGTAAGATCCAGTGTTTCGTCAAAATCCACATCCATCGTAGCTGTAAATTCCAAGTAGTGGTGAAAATGAGAGAAACTGTCGGCTTCAGCTTGTTCTCATAGTATCGTCAGCTTGCTGACAAAAGCCTTTACTGCACACTGAAGGTCAAACACCCATTTACCTTTCCCTTGAAGTTCAGTGTTGAGCTTATTAACGTGCTCAAAAACATCCGTCAGAAGTGCAAGGCGAGCAAGAAAGTGGGGATCACGAAAACAATTAGCATTCTTATGATCCCGATCTTGCAGGAAGGATGCCAGTTCACTGCGAAGGAGGAAAACCCTTTCCAAGGTTTTTCCCAGTGACAGCCACCTGACAGCAGTATGCATCAGCAGTGTGTGGTGATTACAATTTTCAGCAATGCACAACTGTTTGAACATGCGGGAATTCAGGTCCTTAGCCTTCACGTAATTGACAGTTGCAATGACTACCTGCATCACATCAGAGAAGCTCTGAGACATGTCTTTTGATGCCAGACTCTGGCGATGGATGATGCAGTGGTTTGTTTTAATGTGAGGATGTTTTCTTGATAAAATTCCACGCAATCCAATGTTCTTGCCCATCATTGATGGGGCACCATCCATGCTGCATTCAGTTACCTTACTCCATTCCAAGTTGTTTTCAGTGAAGAACTTATCTATAGCACTGAAAATATCCTCGCCTCGTGTTGTAGTTTCAAGTGAAATACAAGCAAGCAGTTCCTCAGCTACTGAGGATTCCTTAAGAAATCTTCCGAAGATCAGAAGCTGCGGCTGTGATGTAATATCAGTTGACTCGTCCACTGCCAGGGCTGTCCATGGGGAATTTCTGAAGTCTTCCAAAATTTGCTCTTTCAGGTCTGCTGCAAGGCACTGGAGGCGTCTTGTCATTGTGTTATTACTCAGAGTAGCATCATCAACAGCTTCAGTTATCTTTTTGGCAAATGGTTCACCCTCAAATACTTCGCAAAAGTTCCTTAAAGTTAGCTTTCTGATAGCCTCACCCTCCGTGAAAGGACGTTTTTGCTGAGCAATGAGAAAAGCTGTCTTATATGAGAACATTTCCATCCTTTCCTTGTGAGATAGTGCTCTGCTTAAAATTGACTGAGACTTGGTTTTATTTTTATGACGATGATGAAAAATTCTTTTGCGAGCCTCTTCGAAACCTTTGATCTTGCGGCATCTTGCCGATGCTTGGCAAGTGTCGGCAAGATCAAATCATCTTACGTTGCGACCTGTCACCTGGCCTGACAGTCACCGACCGGCCCCACCCTTTACTGGGGGTGGAGGTGGGCGGGGTACTGCACAGCTCAACTGTTCTAGGTTAGTGGTGGGAGAGTGGGAGGGACTGGTCAGTTACTCCACCCATACTCTCCTCATGTGACCTTAGCTGGCAGACCCAAAGGACCCCAGCTACCCCACCGACCCCATGACCTCTTTGTGACCCTACCTAATGAGCCTTCCGACCCCAGGTTTGGGAACCCCCGGCATAGGACATCATCAAGGGACCCTTTCTGCCATATTGTCAATCTTCTATTCATTGCTACCACATTTTCTTTGCACATAGGCCTTGCGTGTGTCCTCTGACAGAATAGATGGGGTATTATGGCCAGTAATTGAAGAGCTAATGGGGCGAGGGAGGTGTCGTGAGTGTAATTGATGATGAAGCAAGTCGTCTCTCGGATCATTTCTTTGGTGGACGCACACTTGGGTTGTTCAAAGAGGTTAGCTGGCGTCCACCTGGCCACTTCTGAGGGGGCTTCTTTGACCCACTTTTTCGCATCGTCCCCCGACATGCCTTTCCAATTTGTTGACTGTATGTCATTCACCTCGTGAACAGTATTTTCCGACTGAGTGGGCTCACTACAATCGTCTGATGGAAATCTGCCGTAGGGATTTTGACAGCTGGCCCCTTTCTTACAACCCACACATCGTGTGTTATATTTCACACAAATACAGGTTGTGCATTTCTGATTCAGGCCTGAGCACTGACAAACACATTTCCCAGACATGATGTCCACCTGGGAGTGGGAGAGGTAGGTGATTGTGGTTTGGGAGAGGAGGGTAAGGTTGGTGTTCTGGTAGACGGGCAGGGCGGGGCCGGGAGTGGCGGGGCTGGGTGGGGTGGGGCTGGGCACGGGGCGATCGGGACCGTTGCCACCCTTGACCTGCTCGGGTTATAAGCCACGGTCTACGTGGCACTAACTACAAAGAATATCAATCCATGACTAGATACCAACAGATTGTGTACATGAGACTACGTCTAGGGTACAGGTACCTATGGGAGTACATTGGCAACCCTGAGCCTGGCCTCACTATTTGTAAACTTTGTTGTCAACCCGACTCTCACACCCCTCACTACATCCTCACTTGCCCTATGACCTCCTCCTACAGGTTCCCAGCCGTTACCCGACACCTCGTCCCTCCCTGACCATATATCCCTCCTCCTAGAGACAAGCCTGCCACTTGACATTATTAAGGACCTGCCACACTTTGCCATAAACAGATGAATTGTAGCGGGAATTTTCCCCCCATACACTCATTATTCTGTCACTTTATGTAACTTGCTGACAAAACCTATGACCCTTCAGGCTTTTACGCCCTTAATGCATGAGTCATGAAGGCAAGCATGAACTATGTATGCTTCCCAGCTGGGTGCTGTAAACGCTTTTGCGCTTCACCATGCACAGTATGTAAGGGGGTGCCTAATAAACTAGCCCCATTGCCGGGCAAATTCTAAATTCTAACCAACACCAGCGCCACATCCCATACAGTCCCCGGCTCTCCAATAACTATTACCAATATCCACTCAGGTGGATGACACTGTGATCACTTCACGCACTAAGCATTCACAAGTAATAATTCTAGTAGTTCTGGCTGGTTGTCCCTTTTAAGACCCCGTGATTTTATGAAAAACCCGGAGCTGTCACGACCCCCATCCTCCCTTCACCACCACAACTCAACACTACCAACTACTACCTACTACTGTTCGCCACTGTGTAAAATTTAATCTTAGCAACCTACAAATAAAGATGAGATGTAAAAAACAAAAACAAAAATATAATTAACAGTATTTACTCGTATATTCCCTCCAGAGTCTACGAGTCTAATGATCTTGAGAAATATTAATATATAATGTGTATATTTTCCAGAAAATTCGTGTTTTATATATATCATAAACTTTTATTATTATTATTATTATTATTATTATTATTATTATTATTATTATTATTATTATTATTATTATTATTATTATTATTATTATTATTATTATTATTATTATTATTATTATTATTATTATCATTATTATTATTATTATTATTATTATTATTATTATTTATTGTTATAATTATTATTATTATTAATATTATTATTATTATTATTATTATTATTATTATTATTATTATTATTATTATTATTATTATTATTATTATTATTATTATTATTATTATTATCATTATTATTATTATTATTATTATTATTATTATTATTATTTATTGTTATAATTATTATTATTATTATTATTATTATTATTATTATTATTATTATTATTATTATTATTATTATTAATAATAATAATATTATTATTATCTTCATCACTATGCCAACTCCTGACAGGTGTGGATGTTGGTACTGGTGAGTCTGGTGTTGATAATCGCGGCGCAGAACTGTGTAGTAAGGTGTGAGGCAAGACTCTTCAGCCTCCACCACACCTCCACCTGCTCAAAGATCACCTTGTGGGCCATCAAGGCTCTCAGCCAAGAGGGTAACTCCTTCAAGTTGTTAGAAAGTAGCAGTGCTTGGCAGCCTCGGTACCGGAAGATATTACATAGCTTTACGTGGAGACAATAGAAGTATTAAATCAGGTTTATTTTGCCTATGTTTAGTGCCTGTTTCTTAATTTTAAGTTAAAGCATTTGCCCATAATTTTTAAATAAAGTGATCAAAATATTTGTTTCTCTCTTTATATTTATTTGCTTCTTTTGTGTACCTTAGAACATGATTACTTTTAATTCTGTAGTTAAGGTCGAGGTCATGCATAATTTAGACAAATTTAAATTTAGGCGTGGGGCAGGTAAACACTGATTTGGAAATAGAGGAGTGGATGACTGGAAGAAGTTACCGAACATTATTATTAGTCACTCAAACACGCTGGGTAGCTTCAAATATAAGCGATGTGAGTTGGGTGCCTAGTATGGTCCATTGCAGTTTAATCAATTCTTATGTTCTTAGGAGTTAGTGGCTGCGTCGGAGATGTCTATGATCATTCTCTCGTCACTTAATTATTTTTTATGTTGATCTCAATGATGTAAGCCTTGACCAGAGACTGTATGATACAGTACATTTCGATTTTCGCTGAATCTACGACTTAACTGTAATTTAAAGACACTCACTGCTCCCGGTAATACAGGGCACATCAATATAAATTAGAAGCTGTATAGGTGGCTTCACACGACACCTAAACCAGCAATATGTCCAACCGGCAAACATTAAGCGGTCACGAGGCGAGTGGAATTCCAGCATCATAAAAACATAAACATTCAAGATAGATCTCGTTGATCATATTACTATGGTAGTTGTTGTCATTTTAGGCTGTGTCAAATATAGACAGAAAGACAACGTTTGTAGACTCGCCATGGCTTGGTAGAAGGAGGACTACGAGTGCGTACTGTGAAATTGTAAACATGACTGTCAAATCAATGCTAGTATACATATACTATGAATTCATAAATCATTTCATGTACTTTATATATTGTGGCATTATTAAAATTATCATAAGGACATATACAGAATATATATGACAAAAAAACATTAGCTTTAATTCAATATACTAGTGGCTCTCCGTTAAACTCGGGAGTGATGCCGATTTCGGCCAAGTGAAGACCGACATTTCGGTGCTGAGAGATACAGGAAAAACTTAGTTGCAATCTCGTGTGACATTAGAACATAAGAACATCAGAAAATAAGGAGTCTGCAATAGGCCGGTTGGCCTGTGCATGGCAGCTCCTGTCGAGAGTTACAACCACTCTCTATCGTCCAAGAACCTATCTAGCCTCCTTTTGAAACTTTCCAGAGTTCCAGCACTTACTACAAAGTTACTAAGCTTGTTCCACTCATCTAACACCCTATTTGTGAACCAGTTTCTTCCTATCTCCCTCCTAAACATAAACTTAAACTTATCCAACTTAAATCCGTTGCTACGAGTCCTATCCTGCTCAAATATTATAAGAACTTCATCTATAGCACCTTTATTGATTCCTTTCACCCATTTATATACTTCTATCATATCTCACCGCACTCTTTGTCTTTCTAGAGAATGCAAGTTTAGTTTCTTTGATCTAACTTGATAGGGGAGGTTTCTAAGTCCCGGAATCATTTTCGTCATTCTTCGCTGCACCGACTCCAGTGAATTGATATCCATTCTATAATAAGGGCACCAGAACTGAACAGCATAATCGAGGTCCGGCTTAAGTAGTGTAAGATATAATTGCAATATGACCTCCGCACTCTTATTACTTACACTTCGAAAAATAAAACCTAATACTCTGTTTGCCCTATTTCGAACATAAACCCACTGTTTTCTAGGCCGTAGGTCCGGGCTTACGAGTACCCTAAGTCTCTTTCACAAGCCGACTTCTCTAGGTTGATGTTGTTAAGGCTGCATACATTGACAGTATTTGATCTTCCAATATTAAGTACGCTGCACTTGCTGGTGTAGAATTTCATTTGCCATTTCTGAAGACTCCTGCCGCCCTATTTTGGTGTCATCCTCAAACTTGCTTATGTCACTGCTGATCCCAGTATCTAGATCGTTTATGTAGATTATGAACAACAATGGGCCCAGTACTGACCCCTGGGGAACCCCACTGGTTACACAGTCCCACTCAGATTTAAAACCATCTATGCTGACCCTCTGTGTTCTATCGATGAGCAATGATTTTATCCAATTTAAATCTTTCCCCTCGATACCACGAGCCTTAACTTTTATCAGAAGCCTCTGATGCTGTACTTTGTCAAATGCTTTGTTAAAGTCGAAGTAAAGAACATCGTAATTTTTGTCATGATCTACTACCTCACAGACTTTCCGAAAAAACGTCAGCAGAATTGTTCGACAAGATTTTCCATTTGTAAATCCTTGTCGAGAGTCGTAGATTAATTTGTTTTTCTTTCAATGCGATTGGATAATATTTGCTATAATTGATTCAACAAATTTTCCTACAACTGACATCAAACTAATCGGCCAGTAATTTGACGCTGATACTCTGTCTCCCTTTTTGAATATGGGTACTGCATTTGCCTGTCTCCACAAGTCTAGCTCAACTCCCATGTCTAATGATTTTGTAAATAAATTTACGAGGGTACGCTAATCTGTTCCATTTACTCTTTCAAAACTCGAGGAAAGATTTCATCCGGCCCTGGGGATTTTATCTTTTTTAATTTATTTATCTTCTTAAGAACATCCTCTTTTCTGAGAGTGATATCCTCTAGTTTCTCTTCTTCATTTCCCCGAAATATCAGTTCCACCTCTGGCGTTTCTTCGTAATTTTTTCTATGAAAACTGATATGAAGTAGCTGTTTAATGCATTTCTTATTTCCCCTTTATCATCGATCACTCCCCTTCTCTCTGACTTTAAAGGCCCCACTTTGTCCTTCACCTTTGTCTTATATACCTGGAAAAATCCCTTGGGATTCGCCTTGGATTCTCTTGCTATCCTGATTTTGTAGTCCCTCTTTGCCTTCTGTACATTTTTCTTAACCCTCCTAGATAGTTCCTTATACTTATCTCTGAGATGCTTCTCCCCTTCCCTTATTTTCTTTTAAATTCCTTTCTTTATTCTAATGTCATGTTTAATTTTTCGGTCCTCCACCTTGGCTCATTCTTATTTGACCTAATTTTTCTGTATGGTATATTTTGTTCTTGTGCTTTACGTAGTATAATAGTGAATTTAGTATTGTCGTCATCGCCTAGTGTGTTGCCGGTGACCTCACCCATTCCTACCAGAGACTGACCTGACCGTTCCCATGTGACCTCACATATGTTCCTTCCTACCCCCTCATAATCCACCTATCGAAAGTCTGTGACTCTGACCATTATTTTTCGTTTCCACATTTAGGGTAAACCTGATTTATCTGTGATCACTGTTCCCAAGTTCTTTTCTTTTGTGATATCTTTGATAATATTTTTTTTTATTTGTTAATACTAAGTCTAATATATTGTCATCTATAGTAGTTTCTGTAATTAGTTGTTGAAAAAAAATATCCTGTACTAAGAACATAAGAACATAAGAATGGAGGAAACTGCAGCGGGCCTATTGGCCCATACTGGGCAGTCCCGTTTACACCCAACCCCTATTGCTCATATGAGCATCCAACCTATGTTTGAAGCAATTCAGCGTATTCGAGTTAATGATGATATTTGGTAACTTGTTCCATTCATCCACTACTCTGTTTCTAAACCAGTGTTTACCTATTTCACGCCTAAATCTAAATTTGTCCAATTTAAAACCATTGTTACGAGTTCGCTCCTGGTTGGATAATTTGAGTACCTTTGTAATGTCCCCTTTGTTTAGCCCTGCCTTCCACTTATACACCTCTATCAGGTCGCCCCTCGCTCTACGTCTCTCAAGGGAGTGCAGATTAAGATGCTTTAACCTGTCTCTATACTCAAGGTTCCTAATGCCCGGGATTAGTCTTGTCATTCTCCTCTGAATTCTTTCCAAGGATTCTATATCCATTCTGTAATACGGTGACCAGAACTGGACTGCGTAATCCAGGTGTGGTCTCACTAGAGCAAGATACAGTTTTAGGATGACCTCGCTAGTCTTGTAACTAACACTCCTTTGTATGAACCCAAGTACTTTATTAGCCTTGTTACGAGCAAAAACACATTGTTTACTTGGCTTAAGGTTCCTACTTATCATTACTCCTAAATCTCTCTCGCAGTCGGATTTCTCTATGGCATCGTTGTTCATCTGGTATCTGGTTTCCCTGTTTACATTTCCTATACTGAGTACTTTACATTTGTCGATGTTGAATTTCATCTGCCATTTTTCAGACCATTCGAAAAATTTGTTTAGATCCTCCTGTAGTTTTGCCGAGTCCTCGTCAGATTTGATAACACGTCCTATTTTAGTATCATCAGCAAATTTACTTATGTTGCTGTCTATGCCGATATCTATGTCGTTTATGTATATAATAAACAATAATGGTCCAAGTACTGAGCCTTGGGGAACTCCACTTGTGACGTTGCTCCAATGGGACTTAGTGCCGTTAATGCTCACTCGCTGTTTTCTGTCCTGTAACCACGCCCTAATCCATTTAAGGATGTCACCTTTGATGCCATGAGCTTCTACCTTTCTAATTAGTCTTTCGTGGGGGACTCTGTCGAAGGCTTTGCTAAAGTCGAGATATACCACATCATAATTGTGCCCCTCGTCCACCGATTCGAAAACTGATGAAAAGAATGTTAATAGATTAGTTAGGCAAGAACGTCCGCTTGTGAAGCCATGCTGGGAATCATTGATCAATCGGTGCTTCTCCAGGTGATTTCGAATAGAGTTTGAAATGATTGCTTCCAGTAATTTGCCTACTATTGATGTTAGACTGATTGGGCGGTAGTTAGAAGATAGTGATCTATCCCCCTTCTTGAAAATCGGTATTACATTCGCTATCCTCCAGGATTCTGGTACTACACCTGTTTTTAATGACATGTTAAACAACTTTGCTAAGGGCATACTAAGCTCTTCCTTACATTCCTTTAATACTCTGGCAAATATCTCATCAGGACCAGGTGACTTATTAGGCTTTAGTTTGTATATTTGCTTACTAACATCGTTACTAGTCTACTATCACTTAATTTGTTTTCTTGCTATCTCTGAATAGAGTCGGTCCTCAGGTATCATGTTTAAATTTTCGGTGGTGAAAACTGGTGAAAAATGTTTATTCAAATTATTGCTCATTTCTCCGTCGTTATCAGTGAGCTCGCCAGAGTCTGACAGTATTGGTCCAATCTTTTCTCGTGTTTTAGTTTGATACATTTGGTAGAATCCTTTGGGGTTTGTCTTCGCCTCCCTTGCTATCCTTACCTCATTATTCCTCTTTGCTTTCCTTATCTCGGTTTTAACCCTACTCGCCAATACCCTATAATAGTCCCGGAGGTGAATTTCGCCACGATTTATCCTTCTACCTATAGCCTTCCTTTGGCCAATGATGTTCTTTAAATAATTATTTATCCATTTAGGGTCGTTGTTGTCTGATCTGAGTTTTTTGTATGGTATGTTCTGCCTTTGTGCATTAAGTAACTCACTATTTAAATTGTCGTGGAACTCGGCAATCTCAGATCTCGTTATCAGGTTCGCGTCATCTGTCAGGTTCATGGCCAAGCGCGACACCCCCTCTCTCAGCTGCCTCTTTAAACTGTCAAAGTTTGCCCTTCTGAAATCTGGTACTTTAGTGGAATTTTCCTTACGTCTGCCCTGAAAATCTAACTGGAATCGAATTTCTTTGTGATCGCTGTTTGCAAGTTCGTTCCCTACCTCGACATTGCTAATGAGGTTTTCTCTGTTTGACAAAACTAAATCCAATATATTATTACCCCGTGTGGGTTCGGTTATATGTTGACTTAGGAAACAGTCCTGGATCGTCTCGAGAAAATCCTCTGATTCTGAGTTACCCGTAAGGTCGGTCCAATCTATTTGGCCAAGGTTAAAGTCGCCTACTATACAGACTTTGTTGTGTATGGAAGCCCTGCGCATTTCATCCCAGATAAGTCGCTCATGGACTCTATCAAGATTGGGGGTCTATATATTACTCCTGTGATTAATTTTTCCCGACCGTCGCTTAATTCTATCCAAATTGTTTCTGTATTCCTCTCAGTTTTTATTTCCTTATTTATTTCACACTTCAGATTATCCCTAACATAGATTGCTACTCCGCCTCCTTTCCTGGTCTGCCTATCGGTATGGAACAGTTTGTAACCAGCAATTTGGTATTCGACTGGTAATTCACGTGTGTCTAGGTTGATCCATGTTTCAGTGAATGCAATTATATCGATTTCTTCGTTACATACCAAGGCCTTAATATCATCCATTTTGTTTCTCATACTTCTAATGTTCGCGTAGTATACATTTAAGTTAGTCGTGTTCTGAGTCCTCCCCTTACCGCGTTTAGTTTTAAACTCCCTGTCTAATTTAGTTTTGTCATCATTCCTAACACTACTTCCCTGTAATCTTTCGCCTTGTTTACCCGCTTCCACTGCAGTCTCCTCCACCCCCGTGCCCATATGTTCTCTTAGCAGTTTAAAGACTTCGATATCTCTTGAACTGCCCCCTCTAGAGCCCCAGCCAGGGTTGCTACTCCATCCCTAGACAGGTGCACCCCATCCCTAGCATAAAGGTCCCTTCTGCCATAGAAGTTGTCCCAGTTGTCAATGAATGGAACTGATATTGACTTGCAATATCTGTCAAGACGGTCGTTAACACCAACTGCCCTTGACAACCATTCACTGCCAACTCTCCTTCTAGGCAGGACACCGCATATGATAGGGATCCCTCCCTTAGTCCTAATACGATCTATGGCTGCCTTGAACTTATCAAGAAGTTCCTCGCTCCTACACCGGCCAATATCATTGCCTCCTGCACTGAGGCAGATAATGGGTTTGTTCCCATTACCAGACAAGATATTGTCCATCCTGTCAATTATATCCCCCACCCCAGCTCCTGGCAAACACACCCTCATCCTATTTTTGTTTTTACCACAAAAGGCCCTGTCCATGTACCTTACCTGTGAGTCACCAACAATTAAAGTTTTTATACCTTCCTTTTCATCCCTGCCCCTGACTGTACTAACGTCCAATTCGTCTATCAAGGGACTGAACGGGTTGGTACACTTAGTTGTTATTGTCGTTGTTGTCGTATCCTTCGTGTGCTTCTTCACCACCAGCTTTGTCTTCACACTACTCACAATTTTCCACTCGCTTGATTTTTCGTCAGACACTGGCTTTACTCGTCCAGCCTCTCCTTTTAACATCGCCAGCTCTTTCCTTAGTTTCAAGTTCTCCAACGTGGCCCTCTCAATTTCTAACTTGGCCCTCGCCAATTCTTCCTTGGACCACTCCAGTTTGGTCAACAAACTCTTATACCCAAGACCGCACATAGCTCTGGCCATATCTGATAATTATCCCTCCGGAGCTAACCCTGCCGTGACCTTTCCCCTAGTGAGGTCAGAACACAACTGTGGCCGTGACCTTTCCCCTAGTGAGGTCAGAACACAACTGCATCTAGGAAGCGTTCAGATTAAAAGTCACCTGCTGTATAATGTTGTCCCAGTCAATATTTTTTAAGTTGAAATCCCCCATAATGCACAGGTTGTTGTATCTTGCTGCTCTACTCATTTACTGCCATATAGGCTGAGCTGCTTCTTTCCCTAGACTTGGAGGCCTGTAAATCACTCCCATAATTAGTTTTTCTCTTCCTTCTGCAATTTCTACCCATACAGACTCAGTTCCTATTTCACCCTTTATTGTATTATTAATACAACATTTTAATGTATCTCTGACGATGAGTGCGACCTCTGCCACATTTCTACCCTCCTTGTCCTTGTGAAAAAAGGTTGTACCCTTCAAGTAGATACTCTGATAAAAAGTTCTTGCTTGCGAGATTCATCCAAGTTTCGGTGATTGTTATGACGTCTACATTCTCGGTACATACAACCGCTCTAAGCAAGTCTCTTTTATTTCTAACTCTGCCTTAACACCGCTCGTTGAGTCTCCGAGTTCTGGTGGAAATGATATTCTAATAATGTACTGCATCTTGTTCATATTCGCTTATGTTTATGTTATGGAGTGGAGTAAATTAGTATTTGGGGTTAAATGTACTGTAGGTCTGCTGTTAGTAAACAAAACGGAGGCTGTCTCATAGTAACAACATGGCTTCTGGCCTCCTAAATAGTCATGATCACCTTCTATCCTCTCACAGGCTCAGAGTGGCTGCCCAGGAAGAATGGAGGCCGCCTCATAGTGACCACATGGCTTCTGGCCTCCTTAGTGTTCATGTCCTCTTACAGCGGCATCCTGACGGCCATGTTGACGGTGCCTCGGGTCACTATCCCCATAGACTCCCTGGCTGACTTAGCATCACAGACTGATCTTCCCTGGCGCCTAGAGGCTGATTCAATGATGTACTCCTTTTTCGAGGTAAAATTTTTGAAATTACTGACTGAGAATCCTACGACAGGATATTTATATTATAATATTCATATTACCATCATCGGCACATCAGACGATAGTAACTTAAGGAAATGTATTGCGTTACGACGTAATCACACAGGAGTCAGAAGATGACTTGGGCAAGAAAATTTTTGATGGGAGTTCTGGTACCTTCCTGAATTGCTTTGTGGCGCGGCAAGAAATCGCAAACGGGCAGTACGCCGGCATCTGCGACAGCATTACCATCATGAAGGCCATGTCTTGGGATTTTAGGTAAGGATACTCTGAACTACATCCTGTGATCTTTTCTGGGGACTTATTTTTTATTAATTTGAGCGGAGAAAATATTACAACATATTACTCTTTCAGTCCATGTTCTGTTACTCGAATTTTCTTTCTCTTCTCTGAGATCATTGCTTGGTATTTTATATCAACTATCCTGTATATATTACGAAAAGTAAAATTATTTTTCCTTTACATTTTCCAAACTTGAAGTACAAGAATCCGATTAAAATGTATAATGTTCAATCATAAAATAATCAATATAATACTATTAGTATTCACTGACAGGTAAACATTAAGGTAAACATTATAAGTTATAATAATAGAAAGAAAGTTATCATGTGTTACAGCACGACTGGCAGGTGTCATCTGTACATCTCTCGGGAGAAAGTTTACAGCAACGGGATTCTCTCTATCCCCTTCAAGACCAAGTCCAAATACTTGTCTCAGGCGAACAAGATGTGAGTTGTAGTTCTGATTTTTTATCGTGATTGATTTGATGAACTATAAGAAAATATTTTATATATATATATATATATATATATATATATATATATATATATATATATATACACAAATATTTCGCTTTGCATAATGCAATGCATTACAGTGCATTTCCCTATGCATAACAAATCACAGACCAAAGCAAAAACAAGTTAAACAACCTCTTATGGTCTCTGCATTGAATATCAGTACCCTTTTGGCTACTGGCACTAATGAGTGTCTTGAAAGAAAACCGCCTTGTGGCTATGGATCTGTCGCGGTGTACCATTGACATAGTAGGCGTTAGTGAGTCCCGGCTCCCAGACGAGGGTCAACTCACAGAATGGGGGTCCCACTATACCTTCTTCTGAAAGGGTAAGCCTGCTGTAGAGAGAGAGACTTCATTTACGGAGTTGGTTTTGCCATTCGCAAATCCATCCTACATAGGCTAGATGAATTGCCTGTTGGCATCAACGAGCACCTCATGATGCTGCAAATCCAAAAGAATCACTCACGTCATGCCTTCTTCATCAGTGCATACTCCCCAACACTAGATGCAGAGGATGACATCAAGGAGGACTTTTACGCCAACCTTGACAGAATGAAAATCTCTAACCCCAGAGAAGGAAGGTTGGGTTGTGCTCCTAGGTGACTTCAATGCCAGAGTTGGCAGAGAATGCAGAGATGCTGACATATGGCAGGGAATCATAGGATGAAATGGAGAAGGCAAGTATAATCCCAACGGCCATCTCTTCCTCAGCAGGTGTGCTGTACACAACCTCACAATCACCAGCACCTTGTTTAAGCAGGCTAACAAGTTCAGGTTTCTTGGCCAAACGCTGGCATCTCAATGACTACATCATTGTCAGAGGAAAAGATCTTCGAGATATCCTCATAACCCCAACCATGTGTGGCTCAGACCAATGTGATACAGATCACCGGCTCGTCAGAGCCAAACTCTCCCTTCTCGTCTCCCAAAACGGCGAAGGCAATAAGCCTCCAGAAAAGGCTCTAAACACCAAGAGATTGGAGGATCCAGCAGTAGCACATGCCTTCAGAGAGCAGCTCAACGATAAGCCGATAAACAACCTTTCAACAAACAACCAAAATCCCAGTGTCAAAAATGGTCCCATCAAAGCTGTCATCACAAAATCCTGCAAATAGACACTAGGCCTGATCAAAAGAAAACAAGGGGCTTGGTTTGAGGTAAACTACCAGGATATCGAAGTACTCGTCAGTAGTAAATGTGCAACTCTCACTGACTGGCAGAAGAACCCTAAGTCTCGCACCAAAGCTGATACTTGCCTCGAGAATAGAAAGGTAGTCCAGCACAAACTTCAAAAACTAAAGAAGGAATGGTGGAAAAATAAAAGCTGGCAAATGCAAAAAATTGCAGAACAACACAAGAAGCGAAAATTTTCAGTTCCTCTAAAACAATATATGGCCCCACTACTCATGTCGGCTGGTGGTGGTGGTTCCATCTTTTGCTCCTGACGCAGCTTCATATCCAGCAACAAGACGACTCACTTCAGGTCCAGCCACCATCCACCTACAAAGTGCTGCTGGGTCCTCAGTCAACCCAATTGCTCCTCCATCGCCTTTAATCACTGCATTGTTTTGTTTATGGGCTTGATCAATAGCAATGGTAGAGAACCCTCTTCCTGACTTGTGGACAACAAAGTTCCCCTTGTAGAACTCCTGGCTACCTCTGGATGTTGTTTCTCAAGGCACATCATGTCTCGAAGGTGAATTGGAAACCATCGGGCATAATTAACATTGTTGTTCGCAAAGAAGAAGGGGATCAGCTCTGGAGTGCTTCAAGTCATAAATAAGACAAATATATATCTGAGAGTATCAGAAATAGAAAAAAAAATCATCTGAGCTTGAAAGCATACATATCGACACTAAGATCATTTAGATTGACCAACTACATCAATTTCTATAAAAAAAATCATCTTTCGAAGGTCAATTTGGCAGCCATCTTGAAAAATGGCCGCCATCATGAAAAATGGCCGCCATCTTGGATTTCCAAATGGCCAATTAGGCAGATTTGACAATTAGCCCCAAGGGTATAATTATGCCAAATTTCATGCTTGTATCACTATTTGCACGATTTTTCCATTATCCCCTCTACTATAGCTACTGTCATCAAACAGATGAAAAATGATAAAGCCACAAGGCCTGGTGGAATCCCAGCCGAGGTGTTTAAAGCAGGAGGACCTCTACTTACCGGTGTCTGCACTCACTCCTGGAGAATATACAGTATGAGAGAAGGAGGAAATCCCCCAAGATCTAAAAGTTGCCACGATAGTCAATATTGATATGAATAAGGGAGACAGATCAGACTGTGGCAACTATGGTAAGAAGCAATGCAGCCCGTAAATAGGAAAAGACTTCTTCCTGAGGCGGAAAACTTCGTCCTAGAATCTTAATGTCGTTTTAGACCATCACACGGCACCACTGATATGATCTTTGATGCCAATCGGATACAGGAAAAGTGCAGAAAACAGCGTCGTGAATTGTATATGGCCTTCATTGACCTTAGTAAAGCCTTCAACTCAGCTAACAGGGAAACCTTCAGTCGTTTTGGGTGCCCACTAAAATTCATTGCCATTGTGCGGCAACTTGACGATGACATGAACGGCAGTGTGCTACACAATGGTGCCCAGTCTATTTTTTTCTATCCAAAACAGGGGTAAAAAAATGAATGTGTAGTTGCACCAACTCTCTTTTCCATTTTCTTGGATGCCTTGCTTACTCGAGCCAGTGCCAATTTAGCCTGCGGGACAGGGGGGTAACATGCAGTACCAGTTGAAAGGTCTTTTCAACATAAGATGACTCCAGGCAGGAGGTGTCGGCAGTTTCCATCACTAAACTTCAGTATGCAGTCGACCTCACTCTCGTCGCTCACATTGAACGCGACCTACAGGAAATCCTAATCACCTATGCAGATGCATATGCACACTTCGACCTTGAGGTGAATGCACGTATGACTCAGATGCACTTTCAGCCTGCCCCTGGTTTAACCACTTCTCCACCAATCATCCTGCTTAACGATACTACCCTCTCTAATGTTACCCACTTCCAGTACCTTGGCTCCCTCCTGGCCACCACCGCGAACATCGATGAAGAGATTCAACATCGGATCAGATTGCTTCTCAAGCTTTTGGCAGACGCCGTACGCATGTCTTCAACTGTAGGGAGCTGAAATTATCTTCAAAGCTGCATGTGTATCAAGCAGTGATCCTTCCCACCCTGATGTATGGCAATGAAACATGAATCACATACAGGAGGCACCTCAAGGCACTTGAAAACTTTCACCAATGTAGCCTTCTTTCCAGCCTCCGACTTCGCTCGGAAGACGAAAGAACAACTGCCAGTATTTTCGCTGGCACCAAATATAGGAGCATCGAGGCTACCATTATCCATGAACAAATGCGTTGGACTGACCATGTTACTTACAGTCACCTAACGAATGGTAAACTTAACGCTGGCGGACAACGGAAAAGGTATAAGGATAGTGTTAAGACAAACCTGAAAAAGTGCCAAATTGGCCCCCTCATCTGGAGACGATCATACCACATCGTAACACTTTCGGGTTAGCCCGACCGCATACTGAGGCAGACAAGTGTCATCGCCGAAAAGACGCTGCCGCCACCCCTCCCGCACTAGTTGTAGTCCTCCCCCCCCCTCCACACGTGCAACATCTGTGGACGGCCCTGCCGATTCCGTATCGGCCTCTTGAGTTACTACAGAGCTAACCAACGAAGGTGATATCCTCAATAACTCATATCATTGTATTATAGACGGATGATCGTCATACTCGATTCCAAGTGACAGCAATAGTAGTAGTAGTGGTAGGATATTTAATATTAAGGTAATAAAATGGTGGCAAAGGAATGGCTATTGGGGGAGGCTGGAGGCAAAAAAAAAAGTAGTAGTAGTAGTAGTGTATGTGTGTGTGTATGTGTGTGTGTAAACATATAAAACTAAAAAGCAATGGTGACAAGAGGTGTAGAGGAGGTCCTCAGGTGAATCCTCAAAGTTGGTAAATGGTGGCCGGTTTTCGTTATACTGTTAAGTGAAAGATAAATTGGTCAATATTTGTTTATACTCGTTTTAAAGGTCAAAGGTCAAGGTTCACTAATAAATGACCACATTTATAAGGTCACTATTACAGATAAAATTGAAATTTAGATATGGAGTGGGTATTGATGTTCGTAGTTTTATAAGAGTTCATCAATACACTCAGTACAATATAATGATATCTTTTACTTCACATCATTAATAGGGACTTTGTGTTTAACTCTTCTTACATCTCCTACCAGCATATCGCACCTAAAGGAGACAGGGCATCTGAACAAGTGGCTGTGGGACCAGATCGCTCACCACTCAACCTGCCTCAAGTCTCCTGCGGCGGACATCAGTGAGGGTATCTCACCTCTTAATCTTGAGGCCATGTCGGGGCCGTTCTCGGTTCTGTTAGTCGGTAAGCTAATTAATGAAGCTATTTTACCTGCTTCAGCACATATCCAGGTGTTAGTTGTATTGATAAGTAAAGTCTAATCTATCACATGTTGTTGTATTTTGCTAAAGACTGTTCGGATCTATTTTTACTCCAGTTGGCAATTACAGGTAATATTGATGAGTAACACTACAAAGATACATAGATTATGAGATGAACAATAGTAACTTCTCTCTACTTAACCAAATTTACGCTCCTCTGCCTACCTCCATCCTTCCCTCCATCCAACAAACCTATTCTCTATCCTTTCCTCCCTCCTTCCTCTTCCTCTAACCCAGGGGTTCCCAAGCATTTTCCAGAGCGACCCCATCTAGTGTTGAGTCGCCTATCCTGTGTGACCTGAAGTCACTATTTATATTAAATAAGATAACTGTTGCAAAATTACCAATTTGCATGCCACTCATTTTGCAAAATACCCGATTCCGCATAAAAACTGTAACGCAAATATAATTTTTTTTACGTCTTTAACTGGAAAAAATATTGAAGAAAATGTATTATATATTGAGAAGTGTAAAAGTAAACTCTAGGAGAAACAGGGTACAACTGTCACGTTTAATATGTAAAATATTTATATCATCATTTAATGCTCTATACCCTGGAGTGTAATTACGTGGTAAAGCAGCATAAAATACAAGTTTCTTAGTTATAATTTTGTCATATTTCCTTAATTCATAAGTGACGTGTGCATCATTACATCATTCATTTTCACTACAAATTACGTCAGTCATAATTCATATGTGGCTTGTGAGCACTATTATTAAATAAATTTTCAATAAAAATGTGGTTATAATTATGTGAGTAAAAGACGGTTACGGTATTCATTTTCTATAAACACCACTGACGAGAAAACTGCCTTGATAGATCGATTTATAAATGCTGAATGTCACTTTGATAATTTAATCCAAAACAGTGCTATGTCAATATAGACGTAAAAATTCACCCTTGCGTAATTAATTTCATCTACCATTTGTCAGTACAAAAAATCTGTTAAGATCTTCCTGTAGTTTTGCGGAGTCCTTGTCAGGTTTATTTACGCAAATTTACTTATGTTGTTGTCTACACCAATATCGATTTCGTTCATTTATATAATAACTAGTAATGGTCCAACTACTGAGTCTTGGCGTACTCCACTAGTGACGTTACCACAATTGGATTTAGGTGGGGGCGGTGGTAGAAGCGGTATCGCTCTTGCCTCGCAAGCAAGATGTCACGGGTTCGATTCCCGGGCCGGTGGAAGTTGTTTGGACATACTTCCTAGCCCCCATTAGTCCCTGTTCACCTGCTGTAAGTCGAAAGTTGTTGGAGCTTCCAATAACTTGACATAAAACCATTGACTCTTCAGGCTTCTACGCCCTTGACTCTTCAGGCTTCTGCGCCCTTAACTCATGAGACATAAAGGCAAGCATGAACTTAGCACGCTTCCCTGTTGGGCGCTGTAAACGCTTCTGCGCTTCACCTTACTCAAGGATGTAGGGGGGTGCCCAATAAAATAAAATGGATTTAGTGCCATTAATGATGACTCTGTTTCCTATCCTAGTTTTGAATTAAAAAAAGTTTAGATTTAGGCATGAGATAGGTAGAACTGGTTTGGAAATATAAAAGTAGTTGAGTGGAACAAGTTACCAAACATCATCATTAACTCGAACACGCTGGGAAGCTTCAATTATAAGTTGGACATATATATGAGCCATAGGTGAGGCATTTATTTTCGTGCTCAATGTAGTTTCTTAGTCTATGATTTATTATTTTTCCAGGATTTTCCAGGTGTTTCGATGAGTTATATAAGTCTGTAGTTTTCTGCCTGTGTTGGGTTCTTTTCTTGTTTTGGAATAAGTCTTTTTTAGCTATTTTAAATTTTGATGGGAAGAATCCGGCTGCTATTGATGCATTGTAGATATCTGATATCTGCAAGCTGTTTGACCATTGGTGGAGGTATGTTTTGTAGTACGGTTTTGTTTATTTGACTTATTCCGGGTGAATTAATCTTGAGGCTCTCAATTGTTTTTTTTATATCATGTGTGGTTATTGGAGTAATTGGTGGGTTGTTGTTGTCTGACATGTAGAGGTTGATTGTCCTGTAGTGTTGACTTTTGTCTGTGTTTTCTTTCAGGTGTGTTCTCACCATCTGTTTTGTTTCTCTGCAGAAGTTTCTGTTGTCCTCATCCATGATTTGGTAAATGACGCTCTAAAATGTTCTAAATATCGGTTCTTTGAGATCCGGTTCTGCGATCTTTTTGCCGTTGTTGTCTCTAAGGTAGCTGTATTCGTCTGTGTTGGTTCCCATGAGATTTTTAACTTTGGTCTAAAGGGCTTTGGGTTTTTTTAGTCTGCTTGTTTGTTGCCAATTAGATGATTCCATTTCTCATTGTTTTTTTATCTTGCACCTTTCTTTTAATTTTTCTTTGGGGTTTCTATATAATACTAGGGTGTGTCATACGGAGGCGAATTTTTTTTTTTTGAGTTTGAAAAATCGGCCCATGGTATTAATGATGTAGTTCTATGTGCAGAATCATGTGATATCTTCAGATTTGAAAAGTTTTCATTTTTTGCTAGGTAAATTTTAACTTGAAATCTTATGAAAATTCAGTATTCCCACCCTTTTACCAACACCACTAAATAGCTTATTTAAAGTAAAGTAAATGTATCAGGTTAATTTATTAGGATGAAAATGATCCAGAATAGTGAAACGAATGATCTTGACACATTTATTAAATTAAATATTCCTTTAGAAAACAAAATCATCAAATACAAAAACCGGTTTTACTACTACGACCCGGTGTTGCTGCACACCATAGAGAACATGTCTTTCTTGCTTCTGTTTCTACTCATCACCTCCCTGCTGACCACCTGAGCTCGGATGTAGCCTTCCCTCCTCTCCTGGCTGTACACGTGACTGCTGGCCTCGCTCACTTGCTGTACACAACGCTCTATACTCTGGGTGTGCGAGGGCCAGGCAGGGACATGCATGGGGTTGTCCAGGAAAGCTCTGACTTGAACATTGGTGAGGCTGCAGGTAAGAGGGGGCTCACTGCCAGCCTGGATGTTATCCAGATCTATGAGATCAGTGAGGGTCTTGGCACCTAGATTGACTTCAGGAGTCTTCCTGAGCCTGAAGGAATCGTCACCAACTGATTCGTCATGCCCAGATCCTCTCATAAGTCTCATATCCAAGATCTTTTTGACTGCCACTCTTCTCTCCTCCTCATCCTTACTACAGAGCATTGTCTGCAGAACTGCCTCGGGATGAGCATACCAGGAAGATCTCCTCACAGTCTGCTCCACAATCTGAACAACCTTCCTTGGCTGACTCCTCAGGAGCTCAAGCTGGAAGAGAACATGCCTCGGACCTTCGGAGAACGATGACTTGACCTTGGTGTTGAACCAATTTGGCAAGTAGTCACTCACGATGAATTGGACAATAAGTCTCAGGTTGTGAAGCTGGTTCCCTTTCAGTTTATGATGAGCGACCCAAATTCTGCAGAACCTGAGAGCCGTTGTGAGCCACCTAGAATGTGAGACTGGACCTATCTGCAGGTAAGCAAGTCTATCAAGCATGACCCCAGTTTTGATGGCACTGCAAATCATGTAACCATAGTACTGGTCAGTACTCAGGTCGTCAATGACAGTATGTGCAAGCTCAACGAGTGGAGGGCCAACTGTGATTTTTTCAAAGCTCGGATTTATTTCTAACTCAGTGGCAGAGTCCAGCATCTTGCCAAGAGGACCAGACCATCTGTTGTTTGAAAGAGTCTTGCCATCCAGCTCCTGAATCAGATGTCTGAGTGGCAACTCGTTGGTGTGGAGGTCACAAACAATCCAGACCAGCTTCCTCCCAATCTTCCGCTCTATCCACTGTAAAACCCCCCCTTGCCACCCTGTGTTCGTGTTGGTGCTGTCCCCTCCAATGGCCTGCAGGGTCTGGTCTACGTTCCTCTCTCTGAGCCAGTTCACAATGTTATCTGCCACTATCTCAGCTGGTTTCCTGATGTCGTCTTTCTCTGGAGTGAAATGCCACAAATACTTCCCTCCTGGTTCACTGCAGCAGGAGTAGTGTTCCTCCTTCACCATGGCAGGGAACAATTTGTCAGAATCTCCAACTTTCATGAACACTTTAGTGTCATCCCTTCTCCCATCAAAGAACAAACAATTGATTCCATTTTCTCTTATCCCCTTATCAAACTCCTCTTCTAGGTTACTGACAAGTTTCTCCTGAGCTCTCCTTACTTTGTTATGATCTATCACCAGGTGAACATCATCAGGTGTTATCAAACCACCGTCAATCCAGGCAGCTGTTGCTATCTCTGCAGTTTCTCTGAGACCAGTGTGGTGTCGCATGCTGGCCAGAGCTATGCTCGGGATATCTTTCCTATTTCGAATCTTATGCCTGGAAGGTTTGGGATCATTATTTTTCTGGGTTAGGGACAAGTCACCATTCTCCTGGTCAGCACTCGGATCAGCCATGGGGAAGTCATTAAACTCTGAATCAGCTTGACTCCAATCATCGGCCTTTTTACCTCACCCTGGGCCTTCTCAAGTCTCTTTTCCTCGGCAACTCTTCTCCTCTTCTGTCTCTCTGTGGCAGCCTCCTGTCTCTTGGACTCCGGAATATCTTGGCTAGAAATCATGAGAGCCCCTATGCCAGTCTTCTCTCTCTGTGCTTTGACAAATGCCAGTTCGATCACAGGAATCTTCAGTTCACGCTTGCAAATACAGGAGATGTGGGCCTCGGATTTACAGTCACGATCGCATCCAAACTCAGGACAGAGAACAATTGGGCACTTGCAAGTAATTATGTCAAATAACTGGTCCAGTTGCTTGGCAAAGCTGTCCTTAACTGCAAGTTTTCCTCTCCCAAGAGAGATATCTCTTGCCTTTTCCCAACTGGCTAGCAGTCTCTCACTAATCTTCTTCTGACTTGTTATGACTGGAGGCTTGAACTGAGCGTTAGCCAGAGTGTACTGTGCCAAGACAGCTTTGGTCATATCACTGGCAATGTCTTTGTTTGTGTAAGTTCTTTGGTTCTTTTCACTGATTTGCCTGATTAAAACACCGTATCTCAAAGCATCTCTCAATGTAGGCAACTCCGACTTCAGGAGCTCTCTCCCAGACCCAAGATAGTGACTGAGATGGCTGGATTTTTGGTTCCTCGTCCTGACACAAGCAGCCATCGCAAATATTATCAACTTATAAATGCATCAGAATCTGAAACAGAAAAAAATATTGTTAGTTGGGTTGTTAAAGAATGAAGTCAGAAAGCAATGTTCACTATTTAATTGTAATGCACTAATGCAGCTGTACTTTAGATTTTCGATAAATTTCACGCTAAAATTTACCTAGCAAAAGGTTGCAAAATATTGAAACTGAAATTATTTTCTGTTTATATACACTAAAATCTACCAAAAAAGTGACGGGCCATTAGTTTCAGCTGATCTTCCCTCCTATGACACACCCTAATATAATACTGTGGAGCGTAGGTTCCAGCCGTGTGTTTCTATGAATTCTCATGGATTGGTGAATCTGATTTGAATGATCTTTTCTTCATGCGAAATTGTGCATATGGTAGTGTGCTATATGTTGTTTTGGGGATGTTGTTTTTCATGGCTGTTGTGATTTTTATATACCAGGTTTCTAAGGCAATATCGATCTCGTTTGTGTTTTTGTATTGTGTCGTCGGTCAGAATTATGTCTGGGTTTCCCGAGTTTCCCCCCGTTATAAAGGTTTGGAAGTCTGGGCCGAGGTGTGTAATGCCGCCTTGTTTGATTAGGTTAAACAGAATTACTCCAGTTGAATTTCTGTTGTGGTGCCCAAGGGTTGTGTATCTAGCATTTAAATCGCCTAAGAAGTATGCCGGGCTGTTTCGTCTGGGTAGTTTTAGGAGGTCTCCTGTCGGGAACATTAATTTTCTGAGTGGTAGGTATAATGTTCCTATTGTTATTGGTCCTTTGGCTGTGTTTGTTTCTACTGTCAGGAAGTTACTTTGAAAGTTATAAAAAAATTATATTAGATCGTTTGTTTAATTACCATTGGTATACGTGGTAATTAAAATATTTTGATTTTTCATTGTTTTTTCGTCCGTGTGCGTTGATAAGAATGATGTCTGGGTCTATAATGTTGTATAAGTTTATGAGTTCTGTTTTTCTCGCTTGAGTCCAGGCAAGAACGTTGTGATGGATTATCATTAATGATCTGTTTTGTATAGTCGTGGATCCTTGGAGCTTGGTGCAGGTTGTTTGCTGGCTCGTGTTTCTCCTGTCGAGTGTCTATGTCTTTCTTCCTTTAGTCCTCTTTTGATCTTTTTTGTGTGTTTAGTTACATCTACCTTTTCAATTTTGTTGTATTTGCTCCCCTAATCAACGTTTCTATGTGGGCTTCTTCTACCCTGGCATCTTCGCAAGTGAATTTGACTGTACCTTCCTTGATCTCGTGCAGAAGTCTATCATTTGACATTGTCGGTTGTGTGGTGACTGAATAGAAACGGTTGCCGGTCTCCTCGCCTAGGTCAGCTACCTGCGCTCTGGTTGATGAGAATGGGGGAGCACGATGGTCAGTGGGATCTCTCTTCTTGATTTCCCTTTGGTTGGGTCAGTTTCGGGGGTCTGTGACTTCTCTGTCTGCTGAGTTGTGTTCTCTGGTGATTTGTGGTGTGGTGTGATTGGTTGGCTGATGAGATCTACTTCCATTACGTTTTCTTCTCCGACAGCTTTGGTTGTTTGCTCCTGAGTCTTTGTAATTCCCAGGCTGCTCTCGGTAATAATTTTGAAAATTTCTGTTGAAGGGGCGTCGTCTGGGAATTTCACCTCTAGCAGGTTATTGACAGCGAACATTTCCCTGATCGTTTTTCCGAAGGTTCCCGGTTTTGCGACGTTGTTGATGTGTGCGTGGATAATAGTCGCTAGTATTGTAAATGGTAGCCCTTCGCTCAATTTCATGTAGGTAGGTTGTGCGTGAGGGGGGGTCTTTAGTTTTCTCCAAGACTTTAGTTGAGGTGTCTTGCAGTTTTGCTATTGCTACATATTTTGTTTTGGTCAGTTTCTATTTTCTTATTTACCCTTTCTTTTTCTTTCAATTTCGTTATTACCTCTTTTCTTGTGGGCACAGTGTTCTGTGGTCCCCATTGCAGTTCAGGCACTTGGGGTGGTCTTTGTTGCTACATTTTCTGAATGTGTGGCCCTCTGCTGCACATTCAGAACAGAATTTCTTATCCTTTTGGGGGCAGTTTGCCGATAAATGAGTGTATTGGTAGCAGTTACAACACGGTGTTACTGGGTAGAACTCTTCCCGTTTAATTTGTTGTTTTGTTAGGTGGCAGTGGAAGATGCAAAGTC